GAGTTTTTTTGAATTCGATTATACCCTCGGCTTCCAAAGTTCCTCTGTTGCCAAAAGTTCCATGGTTATTTTTTTATATGAAAAAATAAACACAAAACCAATCCTTTCTTTTGTTTTATAAATGCCACAAACATTTTCTGCATGCATTTTAGTAAATGCAAATGGGAAAGTTTCCCATTTTGCTTCCCACACTATTCAAGATTCTATAAATCTGTTGTGTCCTTTCATCTCTCTATGATCTTGTATTTTTAAGTGAATATTTAGTTTCTTCCCATAAAAACATCTTTTCCATCAGCATTATTCTCCTTCTCTATATTCTCATTTTTGCTACAAGCTTTTTGAGATATGCAGAAACACTATTTCTGCACACTCTAACATAATGGTATTTTCTGATTTAATTCCTATTTCTCTCAAGACTATTTCTAAATCTGTCCTATTGGACAAAAGTCTACAAGTGCTGACAAATAAAATAGCCTGCCCCATACTCAAGGCAAATTCCTGATCTTAAATGCCAGAGTTTGCTCCCGTAAGGCAGCAATTTTCAAGCTGAAGTGTTGAAACAGTGAGCAGCTAGTCATATGAAGCCAGCTCGTCGTATCTACCTATTAAAACAGTACCAGAAAAAGAAGTGAGGATATTAATTAAATATATTCTTCACCTCAAATGAACAATTGCTTTAATTACTAAAATGATGGTAAATAATTACAGAGGAAAATCTTTCAATCTTAGACTAGGCAAGAAATACCCAAAGGAAAGTCATCTTTGTAACATCATCCATGCGTTACAGAAGAAAGCTGAGAACCCTCTGGTGATATCTGGGGCACAGTTAGATGGCTGCTCAGCCTCCCTCCTTGCCTCTCAATAGGGTATGCAGGGGACTCCCACCACAGGCGTGTCTTCTTTAAGAAGGCAGCAATTCTATTTCTGGTAATGGTGTGCCACAGGAGTTGCATGTGTTTCAGCACATCAAGGACTTGAGACACATGATGCTCTGTAATTAAATAAGGCCTTCGATTAGTTCATGACAAGGTAACACAAGTCAAGAGCACCTGCTACTTTCATGCAAAGGCATTTACATAAACTTGTCCCCGTACATCTATACCTCCAGCTGCATTCTGTAATTTGTATAGACACAAATTCTTCCCTCTGACATTAACAAGAGAAATGAGTTGAATAATCAGCTCACAGCATTAAGTGCATTTACTATCGAGCAAGCTTTTTGAGTTCAGTGGATGATTAATCTTCCCTCTGAGGGTAGAAGACCAGGAAACGCAGCGAGCTGACAACCGCTCTCGGCTTCGGGCCATGCGCTCCGTACGCTTACCTTGCGACGAGAGCAGCGCGTGCTGGATTCCTCCGAGAGCTGCTTTAATTCATTAACCCCGCAAAAGAATTGGACAGCCTTCTGCCAGGTCAGCAACTTAAAGGAGCTCGCGTGTGGAATGGCAGAGTCAGGAAACGGGAGCGGGAGCTTGCCTTTGGAGCCAGTGGAATCAGACCTCTCCTTTCTGACAGCAGTGAGGCCTCAGATCAGATTAGCTGCCGGAGGAACTGCAGCCTAATTAACATCTCCACTTTGAGCTATCTGTGACGAGTGTCTCCATTATGGATAAGCACACTAATGTAAACCACAAAAAAAAGGGGGGAAGAAACCAGGCGACCCAGCACTATAAAAAAGTGAAATGCAAAGTGTCAACAGTTTAAAAGACAGGTCACTTATAAGCAGACCGAGTAGGCCAAATATGGTCTGCTACCTCGGTCTATTTTTAATCCAGGTCTTTCAGCTGTGCTTTGGGATAGTATCAAGAGAAAGGACAGATGCTTGGAGAGAAAGACCAGGAGGATTCACATGCCAGATAATAAACAAAGCCCCACAGATGAGGCTTCAACCTAAAATAAAAAGATGCCCCAAATACTAAGCTCTTTGTATTACACCACCTTTTATACCCATTTCTCTTCCACTGCCCCTGCTCTGAGAGCTTGAATCCTTCTTACCACTCTGAGGAGTCCAGCACCAAGCTTACCCTTAGCTAAAGCCATTCCCATTTGCACTGTGGTTTTATGGAGCATAGGAAAGCATTTTGGAAGGCACAGACTTTGACTCTAAAGGCTTATTTTCCTTATGTTCACTGCTGGTATTCAATTTCAGGCTTCCAGACCACAGTGTATTAACTCAATAGACACCACCACTGATCCCAAGTCATCCAACGTCACTTGCCTGTCAGAATCTGCCAAGCTTCTCCAGAGACGTGCTCCCACCCAGCGTGTAAGGGGCAGACCCCATTACACTGCTATGTAACCTGTTCCAAACCAAGTAAGAAAAAATCTTTCCATGAAGGGCCTTAAACTCACCCCATCTCCTCTGTTATTTTTTGAAATTATCTTAAACACTTACAGACTTAAAAGCAGAAATCTTTAAGATGGGGAGAAGCAGCTATCCCAGTACACCTTCTGCTATCTCTAGACAGCAGACAACAGCACAAATCCTCCCCTTAAAAGCAAGGAGGGACCTAATCTGTCTGGTTGAAGGAATTTCTGAATTACCTCCGAGGAGCACAGGCTTCATGTCAGCAGCTTAGAAATTTGCTGGGTATTCAGCCTAGGATATCGTCTTCACTCACACAACAGCAGCTGCGCTTGTCAGTCCTAAGAATGGGAGGGCTGGATCATGTATCACCCACCATGACTTTTTGCTGTGTTAAAGTTAGTAGAGGCAGACAAAATGATAAAAGTTAAAAACCTGGAGACCACAGCAATCTAGTCCACATGGGTTTAGCATACGTGTCCAATAATAACCAGCATATGTGATGGACTAGGTGCTTGAGGAGAGCTGTGAGTTTTCAGTGTGAAATAACCTATCTGACATGCTGTATTTTAATAGCACCTTTTAACTTGAGTAACTACCAAACTTTCTTTCCTTCCTAAACCTTCCCGTCTTTCTTAATGATGTATTTCCTACATCATTAGTCAATGTATGGAGAAGTAGAAAGGTTACAAAGCAGGGAATCCCAACAAGAACAAAAGTAATTTCATATACTAGGAATCCAATACAGAAAAATAAAGGGATTCAAAACCCCCAAGAGCCAGTGCATGTAAGAAAGTCTAAGAGAGCCCTTGGCAGGGGTATTCTTCCCTCCCAGCACCAGATTTCTGCATTCACGACCATCTGAGATCCCCTGTTTGAGCAATTCTAGCCATAACAGCAACAGGCTCATCTGTGCCCTTACCCTTTTCTGGCTAGCTATGGTCTGCCCACCTGACTGCATGCTTGGCTTGCACACCTTTAACTACGTTAAATGGCCAGAGCAGCCAAGTCCACCTGTTTCCAACAGCTGGTACAAGTGCCACGTGCTCTTCAGCCCATTTCTCAGCTAACCTCTCCCAGCCACGGTCCCTCCACAGCCTCCTGGCAACACCCCCTCCTCGCTGCAGTTTCCCAGCAACACTCCCTCCCGCACATACGGGCTCCTATTCCTGCTCCTGAGGCTAGCAAGCACCACCACGTCACCGTGCCGGCGCGCATCGGCTGTGGGTTGCTCAGGGCTTGCATTAGCTGATGAAACGCAGAGCTCGATGCTGCAGTGGCATTGAGATGGCTCCTAATATGGAAGAGGAGCAGAAGGTTTGGCAGAAGTTTACATCCAAGGTCAAGGCTCACATCATTTCCATTAAAAAAGAAACACTCAAGCTCTGGACAAAGATGGGAACAGGCAAAATACATCGGGAAAGCTGCTGCCTTCTTTTATTCACCATTTCTATCTTTCATATCAAATTAGCAGTCCTTGGAGTAGCTGCCTGCTCTCAGGCTACAGACTAGCAGTCCAGATGCTGCGGGTTGGCAGGGCATGGGACAACCTGGTACTAAAACGATGGCTTCTATTACTGCACGCTATACCTTGCATCAGCTGTAAGCTTTCTTTCTAGCCTGATCTCCTCTTGTCTGTATTTGTAATGAACAGCCCTTAGGCTGAGGAAGGCCTTTCCAGTTCTTTCTAAACATTACCAATGTGCCTGACTGGGTCTGTACTCTTTTCTTCTGTGAGACACTGAAGTTCAGACATTCCCCGGATGAACTCAAAGATATCTTATCAAAGTCATAACTAATGTCGTCAACTGTGCAGCCACTGTCCATTGCAGAAAAGCAGAGCTACATGCTGGGAACCATGCACACTTGAGCTGGCACTATCAGGTCCCCCAATCGCTGGCACTAAATTCACTCAGTACTTACAGGGGGAAAAATAATCTCTATGAGCCAAACACCCAACTACAAGCAAAACTGAAAGCATTAACAGATTAAATCCATCCCTGAGCACTGAAGGCTCTCACCATAAGGCTCTTTATTAGGAAGTTAAATCTTAACAAGTGGCTTACAGGGTGGATAAAGCTTTTCCTGGGATAATCTGCCAGCATGTTGCCCAGTGCCAGTTCCAGGCCATGGGAAGAAAAAAGTAAAAAGATGTATGAAGGTGAAATCTTTGTGTGGTAAACGGACACATAGTAGCTGAGAGGTCTTTGCCTATCTTTGCCCCCTCAAGCTCCCTGCCATCTTCAGAAAGTCAAAGAAAGTATTTCTAAATTCTGTTAGCTTCCTGAAAACAGAAACATATTGGGATTACACCTACAATATGTGTGCTGACTCTAATCCTTTGTATTGCCAACCTTCCAGAATTTACCTTTATCACATTTACTTGAACTGTTCATCAGTTAGCAGAAGGTAACTAAAACTTTTGTAAAAGACTGTCTCTAGACAATGCCACCAAAGTATTCTTCCAAGCTAGAGGCAAAGACACCATCACCTCAAGCATCATTTTGCTTCACAGACAACAGGGACATGCCTGAGGGAAAGACAGGAACGTAGTAATGGAACACAAGAACCCATGTTCTGGTATCTCTCTCCTGTCCGGCTGAAGCAGTCAGCAATTTAACCAAGAGCTGCTTTGTGGAAAAGCGGCAGCGCGTTGTCTGGAAAGCGCTGCCTCATCCTCCTGCTCCCCACTTACTGCAAGGGATCCGTTCTGCGTGCTGGCCGTGTTCGTGCTCTGCTCTCCGTGCGGCTGCGTGCTCCCGTAGAGCGTCAGATTGTGCTCGCTGGTCTGGCCTGCATAGTCCTGAGTGTGGGGCACCCCGTACTCCGTGGGGATCCCATTCTGTGGGGGTGGCGGGAACGGGATTGTGGTGAATGGCTGCACCATTGCATCAGGAGTGGCTGCTGGCTCCTGGTTACCCTGAAGGAAGAGGAAACAAGGAAATGGCTTTAATAACCTACAGAAGATGGAACAAAACATCATCCCGAGGAATCATTTACAAATATGCACACGGGCCATAAAGTTTGTGTAAATATGCCACCCACTGCCATCATGTCATTGCACGCTCTTCGGTTATCTTCTCTATTGGAAAGAGCACGTCTTGCTCCCATGAGCCACAAGACTGTTCTCTTAATCTCTTTAGGACTCCTTTCTCCCTGCTGGGTGGCATAAGGAGACCAAATTGTGAGATTGGTAACTGCCACGGTGTTGTAATTTCGCAAAATACTTTAAGCATAATGTGGCAGTGTTTAGGAAGGGAGAGGGTGCACCAAGTACCTTGAAATGGAGAAGGAACCCCAGATAAAAGAGCAGGGTTTTAACTTCTAAATTTCCTTAAAAATACAATATCTGGGTCACTCTCCTCCTGCTTGACATTCACAACTCTGCAGACCATGTGTGGATCAGGCCACCTTTTTCTCTACCATGTTTCTGTAAGTGGAAACCTCCCTCTGCCATGTTTTAGGATTGACCTGTGCAACAGCCCCTTTCTTTGCCCTGGCAGCACTGAGTTCGGAACACTGATGTCCAGGTACCCGACAGCTGGGAAAATGTATTTGCTTTTGGTTTGCCATGAAGAAGAGGAGGGAAGAGCCGCAGCGAAACGAGCTGAGAACATGAGCCTGGAGCACACTCACCCTGTCCCCATCAAGAGCACCACTACCTTCCTGCAAGGTGTTGATTACACACTCCTCCCTCAGCTCAAGGCATCCCACAGAGACCTCTGCGCTGGAAAAGGGGACTTTTTAGCAGCTTTTAGTGTGTGGCCTCTGATGCAGCTGACACCAACTGGATGACTCTGAAACAGCTGACGGCACACAAAAGATATCCCCAAGGACTGTAAAAATCCTTCCCCCACCATGCCTCAAGAGTGCCTTAAAACAAAATAAGTAAAAAAAAGCAAAATGCAAAATAAGCATACAGCATTGCAGCATCTGCTGGACTGCGACAGAGGGGAGAGCAGGGAGCTGGATCCAGTCACCTGGGGTAAAGGAGAAGAGCTTTGACATTGAAACTCACCCTGGAAGCCCAGACTGCTGCACCGCTTTCATCATCACAGCAGAAAAATTCAAGGAAAAGATTTATGATAGGAGGGCCGTTTGATTTATGTGTGTGTCAACAGACTAATCCCGATTTTAAATGTTGGCTGCTGTTCCAGCCCTGGGCCCTCCCACACAAAGCCCGGAGGTACTTGAGCCGATCCCGACATGGGTCCGCTTAAGTCAATGGAGGAAAAGGAAAACGCTCCTCAGCATCCTGTAGATAGGAAAAGCAGAGCAGGCAGCTACAAAGCAGCCTTTCAGCAGGGCGCACAGGGGGCCCAAAGAGACCTCCAGCGAAGCCGGACAAACCTCGCAGGCCTTTACCGGGCTGCCGGCAGCTTCCCGTTCCAGGCGAATGAAACGGTGACAAATCCAGCACACCTGCAGCCAGCGCCGGGTCACTCGGGCCCTGGCTCAGTCCCAAACATGCTCCGACACCAGCCTATCTGCTGTGCATCCCCCCGGGGGCCACGTGGCCACGCGCTCCGGCAATGAGGGAGAAGGAGAAGGAAGGACATTCGATACCGCTTAGCGGAGCAGAGCTGCAGCCTTCGCCGCCGCGGAACAACAGGCATTTTCATTAAGTGAACTCCAATCAGTGCAAGGCCTCGCTGTTTGCAGCAGCACAACTCTGTAGCCTTATCTGAGAGAGAAAAATTAACAGTGGCGCGCCGGGAGCACTGCAGTAGAGCCTGGCTCTCGCAGAGCACTCGCAGCCGGCAGCTACGTGGCCACTTCTGACAGACAGCATGTTTTCTGGAAACAGGAGGCTTTTTCCTTCCCCCCTCAGAGGGGCAGCCCCACATCCGTGAACTTCCCCACTCGCTTCTTTACCATTCTCATTTTCAAAAGCAGGGAACTCTTCCCTTAATCTGCACTATCGCCAAGATCCGCAAGGCAGCGTTTTACACAGGGGAGGGAAGAGAGGATGAATGATGGATAGGCAATCACAAGCTGGGGAGATCATCATCCAAAATCACTCGTCTATCCCCAGATTTTAGCCTGCCACGACAGCTCTACTCTGAGTACATATTGCTGCCTTTCTAAGTTTTCTACTTGACCATATTTCCAATTACAGGATTTCGCTATATCCAGTTTCCTGTTTGTTCCAGTACAGGCCATATTGTCTGACATCGCTTCCCACCCCCCACACCCTTTTTTTTTTTCTGATAGCTAAATGTGAAAGAGATTTTAGAATAATTAAAATTGGTAGGAACTCCAGGAAAGGCAGAGTACCAGAAGCTACTCTCAATTCTCTCAGACCAAGCCAAATGCAGGAGCTGGGAGTATCCCCGGTATCAGGGCGAGACTGCTAATTAGAGGCAAGCAAAACCCACGACTGCCATCTCCACACAGGGCAGGATTGCTCCCTAAAGGGCAGACTCCAACGTTTGCCTTAATCTCAGCTCTTAAGACTAGTTAAAATGCCAGCCCACAAGCCTATATAATCTTATTTTCAACAACAGTTTTTTTTTCCCCTCTCAGTCAAAAATGCTTTCTAGTTTAAATGCATTTCAACCTTTCAAATATTTCCCTCCTTCCTCAGTTATCTATAAATATTTGAACGGTGGAAAATGTTATTTCTCTCCTCTATTTTTTGTGGTGTGTTGATAATACATATTCATCTTGAGCTTAATCATGCCTCACAAGCCAAAATATCCTGGTAATTATACCTTGTCTGACCTTCCTAATATTTCTAACTAAAGAAATTCAGGTGCAGAATACAATGCTTTAAATACCATTATCACTTGTTTTTTTCTAATCTAACACAGAGTTTTTTTTTTTTAAAAAAAGAAATGTATCTTTAGTTCAATGTCTCAGGTTATCTGCAGATCTTTCACTCTTATGCTTGTCCAGGTTTCGTCATTCCAGTGAGTAGCTGTATTTCAACTTACTTTTCTCTCAATACAATTACGTACACTTTTACAGTTTATTTTTCTTGCAAATTTAATTTCCTTTGATGCTTTAGAATTACATTTCTTCCATCTCCACTAGAGTCCATAAAAAAGAACTTAGTAAAAAAAGAAAAAAGACATATTTCCATTTTTAAAATGCATTGGAAATTCTACTCCATTCTGTGATTCGACCAAATTTCAACATTCACAAAACATTTCACATATTCAAAGACTAAAAATAAAATACAAATCCCTTTCTATCTTCAAGCATAGAACGTGGATACCTTCCTCTATTAGGATTTTCCCACTTCTGTACACAAAAGATGACTGAAGAAACCCAAAAGCTTCCTGGCCGAGCCAGAGGGGAGGCAACTGCAAGGACTGAAAGCATTTTGCCTGCCTGATCCCTACGGCATCCCTCACTCCGGCCTTGCCGGTCTCGCCTGTTCCCCCTCAAGGAATTCTCTTGAGCCTTGACTCAACCATGGCGATAGACTGAACTGGGTACGTCTGAGGTGTGCAGCAGGGAAGGGCTGCTTGGCCCAACCGTAACCCCAAATAATTTAAACAAACGTGTGTCCTTGAAGGAAAAAAAAACATATATATATACATATATATATACATATATATGCATACAGCAGCACAATATCCCAGACCACACCCCAAGCATGTTTCCTCTTCCTTGCACACCCGTGTGCCCACAAAAGCAGGCGGCTACAGCCAGGTGGGCACTCAAGGCAGCTCCCCTCATGGGAGGCGCCTCGCGGGCGCCCGGCGGCGCCTCAGGAGATGGCGGCGGGTCAGGCACGACGGCCCTCGGAGGCGCCGCTCTGGGCCCCGCCAAGGCAAGGCCGCGCTCGCCGGCACCGCTTCCCCCTCCAAGGTAGGGTTTTCCCTACTGTTTAGTTAAAAACCCATCTCGCCTTCGGTTTCAACACAATTTAGTTAAGCGAGGGAAAAATCCCTAATGGGGACACATTTCTAACAGTTTATGCGGCTTTGGCTTAATTAATGAACTTTGTCGCTGCAAGCTAAGCGCGCAGCTGTAAGTAAGGGAGCTTGGCAGCGCCTCGCGGAAGGGTGGGAGGCAGGGACGCTGCGCCGAGACCTCGCGTGCTTCGGCAGATGTGATTTCGGATGAATTCTTTCAGCAGACAGCAGGTGGTGATCCAAGATCGCGGCACTGGGATACGGGGAGAGCAAACACCAGAAACACACTGCCAGTCCACACAAAGACCTCCCCATCTTGTATGAAACCGTCGGTTCACAAAGATTTGGTTATTTTGTGGAAGGATGGCTTGGATTTGCTTGCTAGACATGCATGCAATTACTGAGATAAGGAAGGAACCTTATAGCAATGCAACCCTGGATGGCTTCTGTATCAGCATGCTGATATATGCAAAGCATTTAATCAGTTTAAATAAATAATTTGAATTACAGTAAAATTAAAATGTTACGGCTTGCGCACAGAAAGCTGCATGTACACTGCCATGAGGTGGATGATCTGCCTAGTCCCTTATCTTATCAGAGAAATAAGCTTCAGCGAAAAGTGCAAAGAAATGCTGTAATATGTAGTCATCAAACAACCTCCTCTTAAAAAAGAGATGCCTTGCAGCTCCAGTCAACCCCGGTAACGCTGGGATGCATGTGAGTATACGGCTGCCTGGGACAGGGGTAGCCAGGCTGTTTTTAACGGGTATGTGTTCATGAACTTATGTTATTAAACCTTGAAGTAACTGACTTCCAGCTAACACAAGGCAATTAGCATGTTTATGAAGACTAGTGCGTTCCAGGCTACAAATGTTTGCTCTTTGCGCGAGCCTAATCCCTTCCATAAACAACAAAAAATATTTGTAGCTTGGATCTAAAGAGTCTAATATGACAATTCAACCTCAAGTCATTGCCTGCTCTGGGCCCCTTGCATGAAAGGCATCGTTGTGAGCGACGGGGATGCAGGAACTGTGTGGTCTGTCTTCCAACCCCA